TCTGAGCTCTTCAGTTTTGATATCACCATTTGCCATTCAGAATGTATACACTTGACAGAAATGAGCTGGCAGGGATCTTGCTGATAGACGTGCTTTCATGGAAACTATCAAACTGGAAGGTGAAAACCTTCTAGAACTATTGAGAAGCATCTTCTTCAGGAGCAGCACTGATGAATCCTGTAGCCTGTTACAACTGGCATTTGATTTGACATTCTGAAGAACTAGAAAACAATCAATAAATAACTGTATATTTTTTTTAAAAATAAGAAAATCTATTTTCCTTTTATTTCCTTCTAAATTTTGGTTAATATAAACAGGCAAAGCTATATAATATCTTCTCCCATATTTTCCTGGTGAAAGAAATAAAGTTCATTAGCCTCAATAGTATTACTTGGATATAAAAATTAATTTTATAAAAAAACCCTTATTTTTCTATAAGATATACATAAAAAATATAACCCAAGTTCTTGGTAACATTGCAAATCCTCCAAGCCTTGATCTACTTGGTATGACATTTCCTCTGCTGTATTTTTCATCCTCCTTCCTTATTCTTGGGGAATAAGGGAAAGATAGAGGCAGGTTCAGGTTGATAGGATCCTTCACTTAAAATAAGATCAGAAAAGAAAGACAACTGGGCTATTTATAAATTTCAAAAATATGTATGTCTGTCTTTACATTTTATTGCATAAGACGTTTACTGCAAAGAATGACAGCATGGATGAAGAGGAGGATGGTTTATGCTACCTAGTCAAGATGAATTTTTTGCCAAGTAAAGAAAAAAAAATCCATTTTTCCTCTCTGAACATTGATTCAGCTTCCATATAGAGAAAAAGTAGCATTATTATAGCGATTAGTGCCAAGTGAGTGCTTTTCATTTTGAAGTAGAGATGTATAAATTAGTCTCCTTGAGCTGAAAAGCCTCATTTCCAAGAAAACAATGAGCTCCACTTTTGGAAATGTACCAACTCTTATCAGGCTCCCTCTTGACATCATTTCAGTAGCTAACACCTTCACATCAAGGATGATTCACTAGGCTCCTGCACAGGGGCGGTGGGAGCTGTCTCTCACCTGGGGTAGCTTGACATCTCACTCTTGGGACTCCCATGACTCCTCTGCCTCTGGTCTATCGATTGTCACTCTGATGGCGCCTAGCACCTGCCTCCAATATCACCTTTGACTCCTCCAAACTGGCAGCTTAAATCTTGACCTTTGCCCACAGCACCTGCCATTTTTGATGTCCTTTATAACCTATTAACACATGACATAGTCCCACAGGACAACCTATTTATATAGGGAGAAAGTCGACCTTATCACCAACACATTTTTCAAGTCCAAACATGTACCTATATTCATTTTCTCTTACTTCATTGTGGTTGTATCCTTTCCTGCGTGACTGTTCAATATTCCTTAATTCAGTTCAGTTCCACAGACATGTAAGAAGCATCCACTGTGTGCAAGCCACTGTAGGGGCTGGGGATTCAAAGACAAATGAAAGGGTCTACCCTCTATGGACTTAGCAACTTTGGACTGTGGTAATATAAGATATACCAGAGTACATCATAAATTGCTGATGAATTTGGTAGCCCTCACTAAGCTTTTCTAGTTTTCCTTGTAGAGGGGAGCCATTCCAAGGTATGTAAATGATTAACAGCTGCTCTCTAACTTTTTGATAAAAAAAAAATCCATGATATGCACTCAACCAAAAATGAAAAGGTTGTGAAACAAAATGGTTTTCTTAGTGTGACTGGATCCTTATCCCTTATCTAAAAATTTTCCTCTTTCTTCCCTTTACGACTGGAGTTAGACTAGTTGTTTTGTGTTTTTTTTTTTTTTCCTGAAAAGTGACAAAGCTGCCTTTGAGGCTTGGTTGACCTGGGGATCAAGGTTCCAGGACAGCCTTCTTTGACTTCCTGGTTACCTAAGGGCATAAAAGACCCATCTAGGTAGAGTCTGGGCGCTTCGACTCTCCACATCCTTTCAGGCTGACTAGAGTTCCTGGTGGAGGTAAGGTAAGATTCCTCCCTGCATCTTCCCAAGCTTTATTGAATATCCTTCCTCTGCCCTGGCTGAGTAAACTTCCTTTTCGCTAACTTAAATGACCTTCAAATGTCTCATTTTGTTCCAACATCAAACCTTGACTATCAGCAGCCTAACACTAGCTAGTTTAGCTGGGTCCTTCTTTGGCCAAATTGCAAGTGACCCTTAAGATCAAAACAAACAATATACAAATGTACTGCATATAATCTACTGTAGAAAAAGGCTATATTGCAAAACCCATTGTGAGAGCCTGGGAAGTTTCTGACTTCACCTCGGCCTTCTGGGAAGCCATTTAACTACCTTTGCCTAAAACCTCAGTTTTCTCAGCTCTAAAAATAAGATCCTTTTCCTGGCGTCTTTGGTTATTATGAATGCTTCTTAAAAGATGCTCCTTATTATAATCAGTCACGGAGGTAGAATTATTGTAATAGGAAAACATGTGTAAAAGATGTCCTTTAACATGCTGGGTTTGTCCTCTAGCTTAATTCGGATAAAAGAAAGCTTATCAATTCTACTTTGTTTCCTCCTAGAACTCGTGAGCCGTCACTGAAAGACCCCTTGTTCATCCCCTCAATGTTGTTACTGCAGTCCCCAAGTAGGATGCCAACCAATCTTGGGAATCAGCATTCTGATGTCATATTTATTAGGTGGCCAGAAATGCCACAGAGAGATGAGTGATGAATTGAGATGAGGAGAGAAGGACCTCATTCTGAGAAATGTTGGATTCTGAACATGTGTACTTAGTACAGATTCTATTACTGTAAAGCGTTAGACTTGTTTATTTTCTGAGACTTTTGCCAATAAAAAAAGAAGAAATTTGTCCCACTGGAGTTTGGCTTTATAATGAAAATAAACTAAGTATAAGGCAAAGTAATTCCCTCTACCAATATAAGCTGGCACCTTCTCTGAAACTGACAGTCTTAGAGAGTAGTCTAGAACCCCTGGGAGGTTCTATGACTTGCCTGACCTTGAACCCAGGTTTTCCCATCTCTGAGGCTGAATTGCCATCAACAATATCACACTAGTGTTCAATCTAAGACATTTTAAAGGGATTCTCATCCAGCCAGGCTACAAGCAAAGGAGTGACAAAGATTGAGAACTTGTGGGGATGTTTAGGCTTATGTGAATGGAGACAAAAGTCTGTGTGACAGAACTTCAGATGTGGAAACTCCCTCCACTGGTTCAGATCAGCAACCCTAGAACTGCCCAGGGCACTGAGCCCTGACTTAGGTGACCAGCCTAGAGTCCCTGTCTGTCCCTATGAATTACTTCTTCTGGAGCCACTTCTGCATCGCATTCTCCCCCACCCAGGCCTCTCAGAGACCCTTACCCCTGCTTTGGTGTCAACTTTCCTTTCCCATTCTCCACTTTTTAATTAATCAGTCAATTCTCCATTGTCCTCTCCTTGGAATCCCTCGGCCTTCTCCTTTCACCCTTGAAGCCTTGCCAAAAACCCAACCCTGCATTATTCCGGACGCTGCTGAATGGCGCTGACCATTGACCTCACAGGGTTATTATGAGGATCAAATGAGATAATATTTGTAAAAAAATACCCAGCACACAGTAGGTGCTTCCTTCCTCCATTGAAATAGTCTCCTTGTTGGCCTCCCTGCCTTCAATCTTTTCTAGCCCCAAAGTGTACGTGCGATCATGTCACTTCTTTATCAGTAAATTCTGGTGACTCCTACTTACTCTGTTTGGCAGTGGAAGCCCCAAGCTCCCTTTGGCTTTGAATGCCCTGGGCCTATCATGGCCATCTGCCTTTCCAGCCTATTACCTGTCACTCTCCTCTCTCTCTGCCGCCTTATCATATCAGAGAGACCTTCACTTCCTGCCCAAGCTTCACCTTCGGTAGGAGACATTTCTGATGCCCCTGCTGCTCTTCCCACCTGAATCCCCCTCTCTCCTTTTACACCCTCCCCCCACACAGGTCTGTGTAATTAAATTTTTTTAAATTTTTTTTTTAAATGTTTAGGCAGTTGGGGTTAAGTGACTTGCCTAGCTAGGGTCACACAGCTAGTAAGTGTTAAGTGTTTGGTCTGAGGCCGGATTTGAAATCAGGGCTGGTGCTCTATCCACTGTGCCACCTAGCTGCCCCAAAGGTCTGTGTAGTCTTACCTGAGACAAGTTACCTGAGATAAGTTCTTTGAGGTCCGGGATTCTCAGATTTGTCTTTTTATCCCCAATGTCCAGCACTGTTCCGGCAGTTAATAAATGAATGCTTGTTGGTTAATTGATTCTTGATGCTAAAAGCAGCCCATTAGCTACAAGCCAGTTTGCTTCTTGGAGTAAAATATGTTGAAGTTAAATTTGATAATTCCTAAAGGCAGGGAAAAAAAGCAGTGTTTTCATGGGAAACTTTTTTTTCCTTTTTGCCTACTTATAAATAACAGCACAACCCTCATCTGAGCTGGTCAGCATTGTTTTCAGTATTATATTAAAAAACCTACATACTAAGGGAAATGAGATTTAGCTTTTAAATTCATTACTTACTAAGAGAAATGCAAGGGAAAATCTGTAATTCATTTCTATTTATAATTGTGGTTTTTATAACTCTGGTCATTTTATAGATTGTGGCCAGTGCAGATGGATGAGCTATAGTAGAAACTGAATCATGTCAATTATAATCAATGTTATTAATTAAAAGTTGACTATAGAGCAAGAGAAGTAAATAATGACAGTGAGGTTTTGTTGAAAATTGAGTAAAAACATTGTTGCCAACATTGGACCTCTTTTGGAAATAGCTGGGAAATTAGTGTGGTGTGCCATTTGAAACTTAGATTGGGACATGTTTAAGGAGAAACACATGCCCTTTTATGAGGGACATGAAACAAACTCTTTCAGCCCTAGTTTAGTTGGGTGTCTGGATTTAATTGTCAGGATTAATAAATCACAGCTGCAAATGTTAAATTCCTGGCATGATTCTTCGTTCAACAGTTTTCCCCTTGTCTGTTATGTCCTAGATTTATTGCCCACATCATGCTTGGAGCCAGCTATAAACTCTGTCTTCTGCTCTTGTGCCATCAAGTTATCTCCTTGGAAGGCCACACTGAAGGACATTATGTAGCTGCTGTCTATGAACATCGGTCAATACTGAGTCCCAACTCTACTGCCCTTACAGACAGAGAATCAGCGTTGAGACTGATGAACCAGAACCTAGATCTGTACGAAGAGCAGATAGTGGCTGCGGCAAAGGAGGTGAGAAAACATTTGTCCAGTTGTAGCCTGCCGGCCACTGAGCCCACGGAAACGTGCTGCTTTTGTGGCGGGGTCGCTGCAGGTGTCCCGAGGGGCCCGTGGGACTGATAACAACTGGCCTTGATCGGGTTTGACCCCTTGCAAGCAAGCGTTCCCATCTTCCATACATAGCCCAGGAAGTTGAGACTGGAATCACTTGGTGATTAAGTATCTGGACTGAGATTCAAACCAATGTCTCCTGACTCCATCTCCATCAACGAGGCCACACTGCCTCTTAACCAGATGAACCAAACCAACCTTTTAAGTCAAATGAGCCAAATTATTAACGTCATCTTCATTACGTCCTTCCATTATTGGAAGGTAATCATTCACAGGCAGTTTGTTGCCTTCAGATCATTACACACAAAATTCTGGGCCATATTTAAAAGAAAATGAATAATCTCAGTCCTCAGGCAGTTCACAGAACAAACTAATTGAGGCAACCCTGAGCTCGAATTTACAAAGGGACAATCTGGGCCGACTTTGCTCGTGGCTCATTTCCAAAGAGGACGGACAACAAAAGACATCTTCTCACTTGGGGCACAGAAAAGGAAATTGTTTTGTTTTGTCAAATGTTACCCCAAGGATAAGTCTTGTAAGGAAACATATTTAAAGAAAAATGAAAGGCTTTAAATCTAGTTATGAATTTCTCAAATCTAGCAGTTGATTGGTTGAGAGCCCTCGAGGTGAAGTTAGCTATATTGGATAGCCAGGCGTAAAGGAGGCTTAGACAGTGGCAGCCCCAGGTCTAGTTTTTCTTCCAAGGACAGCCTCAAGAGCCAGAATACTGAGGAATACTCCAGAAGCAGCCTAAGTGATAACCCGGGGGGCTATATAGCAGTCTGGCTGATTCAAGGAATCAAGAAGGATATTCATGGAGGGACAATGGTTTAGTGAGAAGGGTTCAGGGCCTTGCTTTGAATCTTATTTCCCTGGTATTTGTATGATCCCCGGGAGAGTCACTGAAGCCTCCTCATCTGCAAAATGACAATAACAGCACTTAGCCCAAAGGGCTGCTGTGAGAAGCAGCTGAGATCATGTTTTTTAAAAAGCGCTTTGCAAAACCTCGAAGCTTCATGTAAAATGTCAGCCTTTGTAATTCACTACATTGGGCCATCTATTTATATCTTTTACCCAAAGGCCAAAAAACAAAGGGATTAAAATGATTCATGGGAGGGATCATCTTCAGTGCTGGCCACCATAGTTGGGCTCCTCTACTGGGGAATTCTCGATTCCCTTTGCAAAAGAGATGCTTTGTTGTACCTGGTTAATGTTTAATCCTGCCTTTCCAACAGGATCCTGAGCTCCAGAAGAGCTGAGGCTGATTTCTGTCTGTATTTATTTTCCAAGAGCTTAGTACTCAGTAGGTGCTTAATAGATGCTTGTTGACTTGGTTCCCTATTCAGTTTCTCACTCTGTGCTTAGAAAATGCAAGCTCATTTTTAATATTAACCCGAGCAAAACATAATTTGGTGGGTTATTTTGCCATAAAAAATTAATAACCCACTTCAAACTGAAATGCCTTCTGACTTATCTGCTGCTTTAGATTGTTCTGAACTTTGTGCCCTTCTGTCCCTCCACCCCACGTTGGTACTAATCGTCAGGAGTTGGAATACGGAGTCATTTAAATGAACATCGGAAGGAGACGCTGATGTTTAAAGGTTGCCGGATCTCTTTCAGCAGAGGCACCACCGTTGAGTCCCAGGCCTTCTTAACCAGGGACTTGTGTCTCTGATGATTTGGGGAAGGGCTTCTGGGTTGGTCTGTGTTCTTAAGAGAACTCTGCAGTCCCCGGCTAGGGAGGTGCTGTTCCTAAGCAGTACTTGCTTGCATATGCTGTAATGTAAATGCTTTGTTCCTCATGTGACAATGAGAAGTATCATTTGGGCCTTTTCTCTAACCACAGATTGTATTCTGACACTCTAATTGGCAGGGTGTGCAGATTATTGTCTTTCCAGAAGATGGGATTCATGGATTCAACTTCACCAGAGATTCCATTTACCCATTTCTGGACTTTGTGCCATCTCGCCAGTCTGGGAAGTGGAACCCGTGCCTGGAACCACACAAGTTCAGTGACACGGAGGTGGGTGCTGCAGCTCTGCCTCTTCTAAAACCAGGGGGAATAGAACTTAGTTCAACTGTGGGATAAAAAACAAGAACAGAATGATCTCAGGCTCTAAGAGGAATTCTGGAAACCCCAGAAGAAGTTTTGGGGGCATTCTGAAGATTACTCACCTATTATCATGAAAGTGATAAGTAAGAATCCAGGAAATCTTTTTCTTTTTTTAATTCCCATTTACTGATATTTTCCTCATTCCTTAAGATACAAAACACATTATTGGAAATCCTGTATTGTTCCTGACGCAGTATTAGACATGCAATAAATCCTCCTTAATTAATTGGGAGGATTATTGATAGGTGATAATTTACTCATTCATTCAGTAGATGTTTATAAAGTATATGGCACAGGGCTAGATGTTGCAGGAGATATGTTACTGAGCTAAGATAAAGTCTTTGCCATCAGTTTACCATCCCACAGAGTGAAATGATACAATCAATAACTGTACCATGCAATGTCACATGATAAGGGCATTAGAGAGTTACTAAACCAAATGATTTCCCAGGGGGGATTCCAGCAGTTTTGGATTTTTTTTAAAGCTATTTCAGAATCAAAGTTGAAAGGGAATCCCCAAGTCATTTAGTTCCAATCCTGAGCTGAAAAGGAATCTGAGACCTACAACATTCCTGACAAAGGAAGGATTGGGACAGGAAAAGAGTGAGGATGGGAGGACCCACGAAGAGATTCTTGCCATAGTCCAGCTGCAGAGCGCTGAGTGGGGTCATAACGACAACCTCCATGTATGCAGGACTTCTGGGATCTGCAGAATGTCTTACGGACATTCATCCTCACAGCAACCCGGGGAGGTGGGTACATGTAGTATCCTTCCCAATTTACAGAAGAAGAAACAATCTCAGAGATGCTGAAGCACTTGTCCCAAATCACTAGACAGACAGACAGATAGATATAGAAAGAAAAAGAAAGACAGATAAGTAGACAGAGCATTTATCAAGCTGCTACTATGCGTCAGGCACTGTGCTAACATGAAGCCAAAGAGACAGAGTTCTAACTGGTACCTCTGCCTCCAGTCTCTCCTCTTTCCTATCTATTCTCCATGTAGCTGCCAAAGTCATTTCTGACCATGTGACTCTTCTCAGTAAGCCCCACTGGCTCCCTATCACCTCCAGGAATAAATATGAAGGTCTTTGGCCCTGAAGGAAGGCTTTTTGCAGTCTGGCCCCTCGCCCTCTTTCCCAGTTTTCTTATACTTTACTCTCCTCTCTGTGCTGTGGTCTGCCCAAAGCTCCCCCTCCTAATGTCCCATCTGCTTAGACTGCTCGGCCTCCTGCCTGCCACCTCTTGGTATCCTGTTATTCTTTCCAGGGGCATCTTCTGCAGGCCATTCCCAGCCTCTTCACCTTGAGCCTTCCTTCCATTCTGAATGCGCCCGTTTCTTTACATGTTTGTCTACCCATTAGACTGGGAGCTCCTTGAGGGCAGGCACTGGTTTTTGCCTTTCTTTGTACCCCCAGCACTTAGCTCAGGGCCTAGCACCTGTTAAGTGCTTCATACTACATGCTTTTTAACTGACTGAGGATAAGGTGGCAGAAAAGGAGAATTAAATTTATTCAGCAAGTGTTTTAGCCTTCATACACTATGGACCATTATTATTTCTCCTCCAAGGTCCCCTCTGATGCCTTGTCTGTGCATGGAGGTGACCCTCTTCCCTTGAAGACAGCAGCTCTGGCTGCTGCTACCAAGCTCAGAACATGTGGAGTAGAACGTGGAAGAGCGATTCTTCTCCATGGCCAGCCTGGCAAAGTTCAGAACTCATAGCCAGAGAGGAAGGCCTAGATAAGGTGGCTTTGGCCCCAACTGCTCCCACACTAGGGAACAATGACTTGTGCTCTTCTCGGGTGGGAGGATGAGATCAAAGATCTCTTAGCGCAAAGGTACACAGCATCGTGACGTGTGAACTTCAGACCAATTACATTTTATAGAAATAAGTTGTAAGAATTGTGAGGGGACAAAAGTTTCCCTTGTGAGATACTGCCCCATGCCATCTTTCTTCATTTAAATTCAGCTAGTTATCAAGTCCGGTTGATTTTATATCTGAAATTTCTCTCACCTCCATCCCCTCCTTTCTCCTGTTTTTTCTGCTTTACTACAGACATCACCCTCGAGTCAGTCAACAAGCTATTACCTGTCCCTTAAACTGCTGTGGTAGGGGGTAGGAGCGAGTTCCTCGGTGAGGTAATGGCCTGTGCCCAATGATGTTGGTGCGTTCTCTGTAACTTACAGCCTCGAGAACTGCACCGAGAGGTAAAGTGATTTCTCTGATGGTCACACAGCCAGCGCGTGTCAGAGGCGGGACCGGAGCCGAGGTCTTCAAGGTCGGCTCTCCTCCCACTATGCAGGGGTGCTTCTTTAACCAATCTCCTCCCCTCTAGTAAAATCTCTCCTGCACATTGAGGTCAGCTTAGTTTTAGCCACGTGTGGGTCCCATTCTGTCATTTTCCTACTAAAAACTTTCCAAGGCTTCCTACTTACTCCCTAAGTTCAAACTCTCTGTGTTCAAAGACCCTGCAGTCTGTTCCCACCTTTCACGTGTTGGTTTCTGTGACTCTCTTCATGTGTCCAGTGCTCTGCTCGTTCATCCCCAAAGACATCCTCTGCTTCCCCATCTCCTAGTCTGTTGGTGTAATTCTGCCTGTCTGGAATGCAATGCCTCCACCCCTATACCTGCCACTTGACATTTTCCCCATCTTGTAAGGATGGAAAAGGAAAAAAGCATTCCTGATAGGCCATATCATGATCTCAATGAAAAATGGTTCTACCCTGTCTGCCTTTGGACTTTCAGAGCACTTTATACATCTCTTAAAAATGTACAGACTCTCATCACTTCTCACCTGGACTAATGCAATAGCCTCCAAACTGACAAGACATCTAGTTTCTCCCCTATACATCCCATCTTCCACATGGCTGTCCATTTGATATTCCTAAAATATGGGTCTGATTCTGTCACTCTCCTGCTCAAAAAGTGTCAGTGGCTCCTTATTGTCTCTAGAATTACACATAAGCTCTTCTGTGGGGCACTTGAAGCCCTGCACAATACGGTTCCAGCCTCTTTCCTGACTGATTATGTATTTCTTCCCTTCACATACCTTACGGTCTACCCAAACTGGCTTATTTGCTATTCCTTCTGCATTGGGAACAACTCTGGAACAATTCATCTCCCATTTTTTGTACCTTTTTACCGGCTGCCCCCAGTGCCTGGAATGTTCTGTCCTCTAACTTCAGCCTCCTGGAAACGCTAGCTCCCTCCACGTTTCACCCACCCCCTATACGAGGTGTGGTTCAGTGGAGAGAGCACTGGACCTGGAGGCAGGAAGACCCAAGTTCAAATCCAGCCTCAGATACTTGCTATCTGTGTGACCCTGGGCAAGTCACTTAACCTCCACCTCAGTTTCCTCAACTATAAAACAAGATCACAGTAACGCCCACCTCACAGGGTTGTTGTGAGGCTCAAATAAAATATCTGTCAAGTGTTTGGCACAGAGCATGACACATGCTCAATAAACACTTGTTCCTTCCCCTTGCCAGAAAAAAAAACCGTATAGACTCTTGTTCAGACGCCATGTGATCCTATTGACTTTGTCCATGGCTTTTCTTAGCAAAGATACTGGAGTGGTTTGCCATTTCCTTCTCCAGTGTGTCCCCATTTTACAGATGAGGCAACTGAGGTGAACAAGGTGAAATGACTTGCCCAGGGTCATACAGCTAGTAAATGTCTGAGGCCAGACTTGAACTCAGGTCTTCCTGACTCCAGCTCCGGAGCTCTATCCATTGCCCTGAGGTATTTTTATATGTTTATATGCATCTTATACCCCTCTTCTTCTCTCCTGTTAGATTTAAGCACTTCAAAGGCAGAAACAGCATGTTGTTCATCTTTGTGTTTCCTCTGTCACCTAGCAGAATCCTTTTACACATAGTAGGCCCTCAAGAATGACTTGCTTTGTTGATTTAAATTTCCACAAAGGTAAAAAAATGATTTTTTTTTCCTGGAGAGGCAGCTCGATGGTACAGTAGATAGAACGCTGGGCCTGAAGACCTGAGTTCAAAGGCAGCCTCAGATACTTACTAGCTTTTTGACCCTGATCAAAGTCACTTAACCTCTACTTCAGTATCCTTATTTGTAAAATGGGAATAATGATAGCACCTTCTTCCCAGGGTTGTTGTAAGGGTCAGTATTTGTAAAGCACCTTGCAAATGTCAAAGCGCCACATAAATGCTACTATTATTATTACATCATCGATGAGTTTCTTGATATATGGGAAGCCAGTGACGAGTAATTTGACACCAGTGTTCTCCATATTTATTTTTTATTTGCCAATTTGTTTTTCTAGGTCCTCCAGCGCTTGAGTTGTATGGCTGTCATGGGCCAGATGTTCCTGGTGGCTAACCTGGGAACCAAGCAGCCTTGTGACACCAGTGACCCCCGATGCCCGTCTGATGGACGATACCAGTTTAATACTAACGTCGTGTTCAGTGATAATGGCACTTTTGTCGCCAGCTATCGCAAGCAAAACCTCTACTTTGAATATGCTTTTGACGCTCCTTCTGAAGTTGATCACAGCACCTTTGATACACCTTTTGCTGGCAAGTTTGGCATTTTTACTTGCTTCGATATATTGTTCTTCGAACCTGCTGTGAGCCTTGTGAAAGACTATGGAGTAAAACATATTGTATTTCCAGCTGCTTGGATGAATCAGCTCCCACTCCTGGCAGGTATTGAAATTCAACAAGCTTTTGCAGTTGCTTTCAACGTCAATGTTCTGGCAGCAAATATCCACCACCCATCCTTGGGCATGACAGGCAGTGGCATACATACTCCTCAGAAGTCTTTTTGGTACCATGATATGGAAAACCCTGAAGGCAAACTGACAGTAGCCCAGATAGCTAAAAACCCACTAGATGTAGGCCTACTGTGGAATGGCACAAGTAGAATTCATGAGTCCCACAGAAAATTCTCATCAGAAGATCCTAATTGTGAGAATGACCCAGATGCTCACTGTAGTGAATCCTCAAAATGGAACCCAAAGATGCCACCTTTATTTCACTCTGAGATGATGTATGACAATTTCACTCTTGTACCTGTTTGGGAAAATCGAGGCAGCCTGCAGGTCTGTGCCAATTCCCTCTGCTGTCATTTGGATTATCAGAGGCACATTTTATCCAATGACTTCTATGCTCTTGGGGTCTTTGATGGTCTTCATACAGTACATGGCACTTACTACGTTCAAGTGTGCCCTGGTGAAATGCGGTGGCCTCCATTTTGAGACCTGTGGACAGGAGATAACAAATGCTATTGATACTTTTGACTTTCACCTCTGGGGAAATTTCAGTACTCCCTTTGTGTTTCCTATATTATTGACTTCTGGAATGACACTGGAATCTCCAGGCCAACTGGGCTGGGAAGACAACTATTACTTCATGAGGAAAAATCAGTTGTCTTCAGGCTTAGTGACAGCTGCTTTGTATGGACGCTGGTATGAGAGGGATTAGTAGAACCAACTAGTCCATTGAATGGGTACTAGGTTTGTGCTCAAGGTCATATTGATTGGTAAATACATGACTGGTGTTCAAAATGGAAAACAAAAATCATCATCACTGTTCTGAGCTCAAGGGGACAGAGACACCAACTGAGTCCTCAGTCGCTGCTGCATCCAATGATATAAGCCATAGGAATGTTTGCCCCTAATGGCACACACAGTCTCCTTTCTGTTCTACCAGGATGTCATTTGGCACCATGGAAAGAAGTAGTATCATGGGTAGATCCCCTTGGTTCCATTTCTTTTAAACATAAATTCCAGAGACAGTCTCAAGTAACTTATGGTCGATGTCCTTTAAAAGCTACTGACTGTTTAAAACCAAAATAAGCACCATTTTCTCATGCACGTTCATAAAGCAGCATTTTGGCTTTTTTTGGGTCATATTATTAATTAACACACTCAAGCAAAAGTATTTTAGAAGCTAGAATGTTTCTTAAAATAATGAACAAATGTGGGATGTGCAGTCTGTTTCCTGTAGACATACATCTTCTACACAGACTGAAGTAGAAGTACATTGAGATGCCACACCTAGAACAATAGTGGCTGTATCAGAAATGGGTGTGTAAAATATTACTGAATAAAAAAGAAAGCACAGCATGACAGGGCTTCCTCACATCCACATTTCTCAGGAAGAAGGATGTTTGAGGAAAAACCTGACAGGAAATTTGAAAGTGCTGTGTGTCAAGATATCAGGGGACACCCTGCTTTTCCTAGAGTTATGGCCTAGCAAGCAGGCTGTACACTGAGCTTGGCATAACAACAATCCTTTGTGCTCACTCCTGACAAAATGCATTGCTTTGATCAGCCCTAGATGTTCTCTGAGGGATTTATGATTTTCATATTAATTGATAACTATTTAGATTTGTTGGAGCTTCCCTATTTCCTAGGGACCCGAGGGCCAGAAGCAGCCAACATGTTGTAGCAGAAAGCAATCAATCACACCTCCTGACACTCTGAACAATCCCTATGCTTGTAACTGCTAAGTGAGCTGAACCAGGTGCTGCACTCCTGCTCCTGTCACAATAACCCTGGGCCTGTACCCCACTGAATGATCACAAGGTTCAATGACCCTTAAGACTTGAGTCCATTTAGGGCCTGCCAAGGGAACTGTTCATTCAAGACCCAAGAATGACTGTGTTGGCTCCTGCCCTTTTGTGGTTTTCAGGGTTAAAAACCCTCCCCCCACTACAAGCCACCAAGCCCTTCTTCCTAGGAGGACTTTGGTTTGCAAACCTGCTTTCCTTGCTTTGAAATTAGATTTTTGCTTGATTCCTGACCCTCCTGTCTCTAGCCTGCTTTTTGGCTCTGGCCACCCACAGGTTAGAGACCAGTTCCAGTCCAGTTGACAAGTGTCATGAGGGGAAAACAAGACAGTGGGATGAGAAGGGAGCATCAATGGGCAGCTGTGAGTGTGAAAATTCTGCCTGTAAGGCTTTGGTTTCCTCTGGGACTTCTGATGGCACTAATAAATCCCTTAGCGTTTCTTTTACAGATGGTTTACAATTGTTGGTGTAATTCAATCATGAGCCCTTGAGGAAGGCCTCACTTTCTTAAAGAGGCTGAGCAAGGTTGAGATTCAAGATAGTTGCGCCAATTGGGGATGCCAGGAATTTTAGGCACTGTTGTAAAATTGAAGCATTTATTATAACATTTAATACATAATGTATGAAAACATTTAAAAATATTTTTTCTTTACCACTGGGGTGAAACTTTTCAAAGCCATTTGAAAAACAATTTTAACGTTATTCCTAATAAATGTTTAAATTGAATGATTTCAGATTATTAGTTGAGGGAAATTGCTTTATTTTACTTGGATATAGGATGACTTAGTTTCCATTTCCTTCTCCAGCTCATTTTACAGACGAGGGACTGAGGCAAAAAGGATTAAGTGACTTGCCCAGGGTCACACAGATAGCAAGTGTCTGAGGATGGATTTGAACTCAGGTCCTCCTGACTCCACTGCCTTCTGAGCCACCTAGCTGCCCTAGACTAATAGAATACCTACTGGGGGGAGGAAATGAGCTTAGGAGTACGGTTAGTTCATTCTAAAGGCCTGGACTGTTTCTAGGAAACACTACACACCCCACACTTCCCAGGTTCTCCCAGGGGTGAGGGGTTGGCCCAAGTTGGCCTTGGGCTTGAAGGTGACCCAGGAGGAGCAAAGGCACTTCCACCTCAACCCCAAGATACAAACTGTTGGGGCAGGAAGGTCCTTCCTCAGGAAGTTGGCAAACCCTGAAGTCCTCCCACCATGCCAGGAGGGTCCCCAGAGAAAGTGCTGGCCAGATCAAGAGCAGATGACCCATGAGAATAAAATCATATTCTTTCCTACTTCCTCCCTGATCCACAGTATACCTGGTTTCAGGGGATGGGGATGGATAAAGGTCTGGATAAACACGAGTAAGAGGATGCCTTCAACATAACTCATCTACAGCACAGCAAATGCCCAGGGTCCCTCTGTAGCTGCTGGGATGAGTGCACACTCTACGGTCACCTATGGTGATCTCTACATTTCTTGGTGTCAGTCTACATTTCTGAAATGAAATGTACATTGCTGTTTCATCCATGGTATTAGGACTCAGGCCGCCATTTGAAATCATAAGACCTATGGTACAAATGGAACTTATTTAAATGAACACTGTCCCCAGAAGAGCTTGGAGTTTCACAAACTTTATTCCAGTTTCCTGATGATTTAGAAGAAACACTGGCTTATAAATTAAAAATGGGGATTGTAGATAATAGCTGCATAGGAAAAAATGTTTCAGAAAAGTGCAGTACTAGATGGTAGAACACAGTGGAAGGAAGACAGGAGCATTCAAATGCAATAAACTGGCATTTTCAGAAAAAAAAAATCTGACGGACTCTTGTAACTTGCCTCAGACAAACCATTATCTTGTCATCTAGGAAGTCAATGGAAAAGGGATCATAACAAAGTGACAGGGAATCCATTAACAGGAACTTTGGGTTGGATTGAGTTTTGACCAAGTGGTTTTTGGGAAACAAAGCAGTAAAACCGATTTTAGGCCATAACATATAACTGTGTGTCTGCACCTATATTCTGTATTAATCTCATACGTCCCGAGCTCTGCTGAATACTTCATAACAAGTAATGTCACATTTGGAAAATATGCTCCCTTTGTTTGCCACAGCATTGGAGATGAGTAGATAAAATATGCTGATAGTTAACTGAAATACTTTTATGTCACCTACTTTATCAGTGAAAGTGCCATGAATTTTAATTTAGACCATATATAGGGCAGAGGGTGAAATCTTGTTCAGTGAATCCATTTTCAGTTATTCAGAGAATTAACACTTTTGTTCACTACCAGGGTTAGAAAACTAGCTTTGAAATGTATTTTCCCACCATTTAATGTCATTTCTAAGCTCTAAGAATAAAACATGCAATGCTGGTGTTTATGTCTTTCTTAGTTGCCTTAAGAATTTATCAAACTACTAGTAGCCAGACAATTAGTTTTACATATGCGCCATATGCTTAAAGCATCAAAATATTTTTAAAATTTCTAAATCTTAAAAGACATTCTTTTTAAGTTCTCTACTCGGTTCATCATCTTTCCAGGTGCGTCTGCCATGCATCTTTCAATTAGAGCATTCATATTGGTAGGCTATCATAAAAATACAAGTAAGGTAAGCTCCCTTTTACTACTGAAACCTAGACTAGCAAACAAATGAGAGGGCTTCCCCCCCCCCCCGAGCCGTACAATAAACATCCATAATGTTTATGGACTTAAGGTCCTTTCAGGATCTAGAGGGAAGAGGGGATAAAGAAGTGGAATTAGCAGGGGCACAGGCAGGTCTGATGTGTCAGGGTAAGGCATTGAAAAAGACCTGCTTATAGACAACTGAATGTTTTGTGTAGGGGAATGGGGAAGACTGTTTTCAAGTAGCATTTTAAGAGGACTCCAGCAGTGTGCGCTCAATGTGTGGCAACAGAGGCAGGAGACAATTTAGGAGGTTCAGGTGTGAGGTGAGACAGGCCATGGGAACATGAATGGACAGGAAGAGATGGATGCAGAGATCATGCACAGGAAAAATCAGCAGGATTTGGTGACCAGACAGGGAAGTAGAAATCAAAGATGCAGGTTCATGGCATTTACATCTGAAAATAAGTAATGTCAGAGGTCATCAGACACAGGATTTAACTGTTTCTGTGCCCTGGATCCCTTTGGCAGTCTGGTGAAGCCAAACACTGCAGTGGTTGTTGCCTACTTTAATCACTGAAGTAAATGCTACATGTCAGAGGTTAGTGAAAATAAACATGAAGTTTGGGGTTTTTTCCCCCATTCAAGTTCATGGATACCTTGAAATTTATCCATAAACCCCAGTTTAAGAATCCCATGTCTAATCGAGGCCTATTATATCACCAAAGAGAAGACTAAGAAATAAAAAGATTTTGGCTTGCCCAACATCACATTTAATAGCAGATTCGTAATTTGAACTCAGATTTGTGACTTCAAATCCAGTATTCAAATACCCTTTGCTATTTCTTATTTTAAAATGATTTATTCAAAAGTTAACACTAAGTATCGATGCAACAACATGCTTACTGTCTACATTTAAATGATAAAAACTTTTCAGTCACTCTCCCTAAGTATCCATCAGGATTTATACGTTGTATTTTGAGCCACTATTGTAAATTTTTAATAGCTCTTCATGTATTTTAGGTTTCAAATTTCTGCCACAGAGATTAAGATAGGGATTGGACCTATAATGTGATTGGTATAGACAACTACTGGATGAAGAAATTCCTACAACCAAAGCAGGTAAGCACCTTTTCTGCAAAGTACAGTAGAGATCCTGCCCAGTTGTTATTGTTGAGTCCTTTCAGTCATGTCTGACTACCCATGATCCCATCTGGGGTTTTCTTAGCAAAGATACTGGAGTGGTTTGCCATTTCTTTCTCCAGCTCATTTTACAGATAAGGATACTGAGGCCAACAGGGTGAAGTGACTTGACCAGGGTCAAACAGCTAGTTAGTAACTGAGGCCAGATTTGAACTCTAGAAGATGAGTCTTCCTGACTCCAGGGATGGCGCTCTGCACCATGGCACAACCACACTGCCTCCTGACTTGCCCAGAGTCACATAGTTCATGTCAAGAGGAAATACTTGAAAACCTGGCTCTGGGACTGGCTCTCTCCACAGTACCATACTGCCTCTCTTTTATCTGCCACATATATTTTGGCCAATGTGTTTTTTTCTCTAATAAAAATTATTTATGTCACACAGATTTAAAAATTTTACATTAGTGAAGCAGCACATCTATTTTGTTCTAATAATTTCTCATAACTATTGCAATAGGAAAAAAAACACATTTCCCTGTAATAAGAAACAAATTGTTTTATTTTCCTCCAATAAAAAATTTTAAAATGTTGAATTCTGTTGTCTAGCTGAATTTCAGGTATAAGATGTTTAAATAAATTAATTTCCCACCAGATTGCCAACCAGATTTCCCAAGGGACATTTTTTCCTGAGTTTTCATTTTCTTCAGATTTATCATTAATCTTGTCTACATTTGCTTGGATGCTTTGTGTATTTATTCTATTCCATTAATCGGATTGTCTTTCGTTCCTTTGTACTAGCTAGTTTTTATAACTGCTTTGTGATAGATCTTAAAGCCATCTAGGATTGGCAAGACCACCTTCATCAGCTTTTCCACTGTCATGCCATTTTCTTTCCCATTTATTTTTCCATATAATTTCATTATGGTTTGATAGAGTTCTATAAATTTCTTAGTGATCTGATTGGTATTGTATTAAATACATAAATTAATTTCAGATCATTGTCATTTTTATTATATTAAACCAACTCATTCATGAACATTGAATGGCTCCTCCAAGTATTTGTTTTTGTCTATTTCAGACCTCATGGTTTTCTAGTTGTCATTATACAAGTCCTGTATAATTTCTGGCTAGGTTAATTCCCAAATATTTTATGGTTTTGTTGTTATTGTAAATAGTTTCTCTTTTTGTTTTTTTTTCCTCCCCTAATCTTTATTGCTGGTTGATAAGAATAAAAATCTTGTATCTTTAGTGAATATTGTTTCAATTAATTTTTTGGTTGAGCAGTTGGATTTTTTAAAGATACTAGTTATTTCCTGCCCTACTATATCAAATAAAAGCAGTTAAAGAGATACTTCTTGTTTTGAACCTGTTTTAAGTGAGAATGCTCCTTCCTCTATGTCATATTATGTTGACAGCTTATGGGAGATATTTTTGTGGAGGAAAACTCCTCTATACTTGTTCTTTTTTGTTTTTAAAAATCATGAATGAATATTGGATTTTGTAAAAGGCTTTCCCCATTCATTTATTGATATTACATGGTATTGTTATATATATTTTCATTTATATGTTCCATTATATTGAAAGTTTTTCAATTGTTGAACCATCTTTGCATGCCAAAGTATAAACCTTGCATTAGTCACGATGAAAACTTTTTAAAGCGTCTTTTTTTAAAATAAAGGTTTTAAAAGTTTTTAATGAACAGCAGAAACCTATTTTCTCTCCTCCTACTCCATCCCCTCCCCCGACTGATTGGAAAATTTCTTGTAAAAAACATGCATAGTCAAGTAAAACAAATTCCCTTATTGGCTCTATCAAAAAAAATTAGGCCTCATTTTGCACCCTAAATCCAGAGTAAAGGTGACTTGCATTTTTTTGCATGGGTCAGTGCTCTAGATTAGATTCTGGTAGTCTCACCAATAGCCCTAGCTTCTGTTTCCCAGTCAGCTCTTTTCTCCAGCTCCAGTACAGTCTTGTTGTCAGAA